TAATATATTTGCATAAATGTATGTTTTTACTGTGTGTTAATATCAACACTCTATTCATCGTCCTGTTTTCAAAGTCAAATTAAAGCTTTTCCCAAAGAACCCAGATGTGAAGCAAACGAGCACATTGAAGTCCATGATTTAAGGAACCCAGACTCAATATTACAATATTACGTTATATTTACAAGCCTTTTTGCGTGCGGGTCATTTTCTGCCGCGTGGTTGATGTTCTTTTCTTTCCCCGTCAGCCACACGATGGCAGCAGGGTTGTACCCAGAGCGTCAAACTAGGGGAAGTTTATCCAACCAAACAGCCGCTTCACAGCTGCGTGTGGATACAAATGTTGGTGTTTCGTTTCCACGGATCCCGTAAAAAGGAGGGTTTATTCTGCCGCGTAAAGGGAGATAAGACGAGTGCAGGGCGGCAGAAACAGGAGGCCGATGCAGTGAATGTGGATCTCAGCATCCCCCCCCCCTCCGTGCACGCACACCTTTGTGCTGGAGATTTACCAGGGAGCCCGATGTGACGTCAAAGCTGCGGGAGAAGGGAAAAGAAGCGCTATCGCCATGGAAACCCGTCTCCCTCAGTTTCCCCCGTGATGTGAGAACACGAACGCGGTGTCATTGCACAGACCTCGGCCTGTCACGTGAGGGAGGCGTGGTGGAATGTTTCAGGACAGCAGCTGACTTTGTGTTTACCTCCAGTGACGGACGGCTCCATGAATTAGCCTTTTATTGCCTGTTTAAAGTTGAACTCCGGACCAGTGCCATTTATAGACTTGTGAACGACTTCAAGGTAGACTTCTCGTTTAAAGATCTGCAGACACACGCCCGTAGTTTAGCTGTGACGGTGCTGGAGACCCGGCCGATGATCAGTTTGTTTTTGCTTTGCTGCCGCTTGGTGTGTTTCTGTCGTCAGTGACTAACTACGTGATTGTGTAGAGTTTAAGGTTGCTCATCCGTCCTCTGGCCCGGCAGGATGAATGGACTTAGTCCATGAAAGCACGTGTTCATCCACCGTCCACAGACGTGAACAGCAGCACTGACCACCGTACGGTGAGACACTGTTTATAGACCTCCACTGTTGTTTTTATTGTCCTGTTGTTTCCTTTGAGGTGCCTCATCCTGACTCAAGGTCGCGTCCTCTGAATCCATCTCCAGAACAAACCGATAAGCTGCTCTGCACGTTTTTTGGGGGTGGCTTCCTCCGTGGGCTGCAGGTCGTCCTCCTCCGCCACGAGCAGTGCTGTCCTCGTTGTTGTTGTTGTTGTTGTGTGGGGCTTTGAGGTTGTTTGCACAGCTGACATCCTTCCTCCTGATTGCATTTGCATCGAATGGAGACCTGCGAGGACGCTGGAGGTGATTTGATCTGTGCGACGTTAGACGCATGTTTTAAACCCCAGAGACGGCGTCCAGTTATTCAGAGATTAACGGAACGCGCTGTTTGCCTCCAGTGCATCTAAAGCGTGGCACCCTGCTGTGTCACCGCTTGACCTCGTGATGCAGGTTCACGCCTGACGGCCGTTTTGGAGCTGATTCATCAAGGTGATCGCTGCGCGTTTGCTGCAGAGCTGCAGAGGCGGCAGCGTCTACAGACGGCTTCAGTTGCACAGCAGCTTAATGACAAACCAAACACGGGTTTATGACTGAGGAGGACACACACACACACACACACACACACACACACACACACACACACACACAGGGGCCGGCAGACCTTGCCTGGCGCTGGCTTTCTGAGTGTTTTCAGTGGCGTACGAGGGGGGATCCTGGGAGGCGGCTATTTTTAGCCCTGGTTTCATCATTCCTCGCTCACCGCGCTGCGTGCAGCTGCAGCCTGGTGCCGCATTCTAATGAGTCTAAAGAGACGAGCAAACAGCGGCCAAGCGGCGCCCGTTCCCCTCATCCCACAGGAGGAGACAACGCCGCCAGCAAATAGCACGGGCTTCATGGTGACTGTTTTCACCTTTTTTATTCCTGAGATATCATCTCGGGAGTTTAAAAAGTGACTCGAGCTGCGAGGTTGCAGCACGCTTGTGACCAGCGACCAGCGTGGCGAACCCGACCACGGGACGAGGCCCGCCACTCTTTCCCCCGCGGGGTTGCCACAGCAGAGAGCGTCTCAGCATTGGACAACACCCCCCCTCCCCCCTGTATTCACATAATCAGTTAGTGAGAAAAATGTCAGCTTGATTAATAAATATCCAAATATTTACAATAATCAGGCTTCTCACGGTCATCTTGGATGATGGAAGTGGGCATATTTTGACTCCTGACTTCCCTGTTTGCAGAATCCTGGCTGTTGTCCAGATGGAAGACCCTGGGACGAGGGACAATCCCCAGGAAATGAGGTCTGCACCAGGAGACCCTCAGCTGCCCCGATGTGTGTATATTTTTAGAATTGGCCCTTTTCTTTGAAGGGAAATCGTCATGGAGACACAACATCATAACAAGACCCAGAATGGAACCAGAGGTTCCCAAAGCGCGGGCTATTGATAGCCCTCGCCGAGCGGGACGTATCTGGGATCAACCGCTGTACTTTCCTTCCTTCAACCCTTCACACGGGCCCCTGCAGTTCGCCGCGCGCTTTCGTCCGCAGCTTCAGGCGTCCGAGCTTCGTTCAAAACGTCCACCGGGTTTTTATTGCACAGCAGCCGCCGCGTCTGTTCTCGGAAATGTAAACTGCGTATCGCTCCAACGCGGTGCGGTTTGTTTAGAGAGCGTCATTAATTGACAGCCCGGTCAGAGCGCGCTGTGTTTGTGTTTGAGCGGGAGAGGCAGATAAATGGCCCGCCGCCGGACCTGGAAACAAGCAGAATGTCTCCGACACACGCGGGACATTTTCCATCTGGGGAGAGCGCGTCAAGGTGTTCGATGGCGGCATCGCTCCCGTCTTGTGGTGCAGGATGACGTCGGCGTTCTTTGCGGTTAGTTTTTGTTTTGGTACATTCGGCTGAAGGGCTGCAGATATCAAGACTGAGCTTCCTGTCCTTTACAGAAACTCCACGAGCAATGAGCTCACGCTGCCATACATCATAAATAAGCATTGAACAAGAGATAAAACACTGACAGCAACGCTTCCTGATGTTTGCGTGGTTTTTCTTAAAACAGAAACCAAACCCCGTTAACGCCCTTCACCTTGCTCACCGATTGTACCCTGATGGGATTGTGAACATTGTGTTGCGTTTGTGCACACAGATTCCCCAGTAATCCACACGTTTGCCCGTCAGGTCCTGTTTTGAATACAGAGCTTCTGCAGGATTTAGTGGACATTCTGCTCCCGTCAATCAGTTCAGCAGTTTGTTGTGTCACTTCAGTTCTGTGTTTAAATGTCGCCGCTCGGCTCCGAGGCCCTCGAGTAAATACAACAGTGCTCTTACAGGAGCTCAGGCTGTGCAGCAATTCGTCTCAGACCCAGATCGCACATCTCAGATCTGTTCACAGACTTTATTTAAAGAGTTTTATGAACGTCATTCATCACATCCTCTGTGTATCCATTCTACACATTTAAACAGCGACCATTACGATGCCTCTCTCTCTCTCTCTCCCTCAGTAACTTAATGTCAGGTCTCAGAGGATGCAATCACGACTCCCCCACTCAGTAGATGCAATCACTCCAACGCGACTGAGAAGGTGTGGAGCTTGAGAAACGAGCGGGAGGAGAAGCGCGTACTTGAGCGGATGACCGCGCTTCCTGTGAGTCCGCGTGTGAAGCAGCAGCGCTGTTGGTGTCACGACCGGGCGGAAGTTGCCCGTGCGCTGCGAGCGGGGCGCCGTGCACGCGCAACAACCCTGAACGTGTCATCAGATTTTCCAGGTGCATCGCAAAAAAAAAAAATGTCTGCTATATTTACAACGGATGAAATCCGTGAGCGTTAAATCAAGAGGCAGTAAACGGTCCCTCGGATGTGCTTTTAAAAGTGGCTCATCAGTCCCCATGAAGTGCTGTGAGCTGGATGCAGTAATTCACAGGGTGCACGAACGGAGCGTTTTAATTAAAAACTGCTCAGAGGCTGCGACCCCGGGGGACAAAGTCTTCCCGTGTACTCGATGCGCCAAAGTCAGTGGAAACCCGAAACGCGCAGGAAGCGCATTTCGACGCCCATCGTCTTCTGTTGTTGGGAGTCGTTACAGGAAGGAAGTAAAACCAGGAGTCTTTTTTCATGGACGCGATGACGTGATGACGTGATGTGAGACTTCAAAGAGGTGTCGCCTGGCATGATGAGCTGCATTCTGTCATTGTTGAAAGCAATAATGTCAAATAGTTTTGACTTGTGTCCCTTTAAAACTAACTACTTATCTGTCTGTGTGTGTGTGTGTGTGTGTGTGTGTGTATACAGCCGAGTCTTTAATGGATACATACTATCACATTGTTGATGTGTACTGTTGTGTATTTCAATCAGGTATAGAGCTACACTGAACACAATGACAGACTCGTCTCCTCTAAAACAGATCCATGATTAACGGGAGCTTTGCTCAAAGGAACGCGAACATTCACTTTAGCTGAAGTTCCCCAGGAAATCGTTCCAGCTCCACTCGGCCTTTTCACAGAAGAGCGTCTGCAGTGCTTCCACCTAGGAACCCGTCAGCCGGAAACAAACATTTAGTTTGTCTTCTTTCACCAATGCTGCTTATTTCTTGGGGACGTTGGGGACGTTGGGGACGTTTCCGGTAGGGTTGTCCTGCCTTCTGTAATTGCTCATCAAGGGCTTGGACAGTGTGGCTGGTGCACCAAAGCATGCTAATCACATTAGTGGGGAGCAGCACATCACTGCGTTTACTCCCAGCAGCTGGAAAACCCTGGTGATCATCTGCGGAAATGAAGGAATATAATCCAGGGGCGCGATCACGTGACCATTCAGCGGGGGGTTCAGTAATTGCCCACTCGGCCTTCCTTTCTTCCTCTCGCGACGCGGCTCGCGCTCGTCGGATACTGCGACGCGCCGGAAAAAGTGATTTATCTTGATGAACTCAAAGGGGACATCGAAAGGTCATGCACTTTTAGTGGTTAAGTTATGTAAAGTGAGAGTAGTTGATGTGGGATGTGTGAGCAGACATGTCGTTTCTTTTAAAACAATTTGTTATAGGAATATTGTTGTAGCATTTTGCGAAAGATGATAACGTTCATATAGGAACGCGTATTAAAAAACACGCTCCCTTCCCCCATAAAACCACAAAATTGCTGCGAGGAAAAAGGTCTTGGTGACATTTCCGAGCCTGCCCCCCCCGACGTGCGCTCGTGCCACTGATAAGAACCCACTGGCATCCTCTTCTCACATCATTTTCACATTTGGGGGAGCAAGCAGCTCCTGTCTTCATAGCGTCTGGTGGGTGAGGTGAATACATGACTGCAGCACCGCTGATGAGTCCGTCTTCATCCCGACTAGCTTCTATTGTTCCTCATACGCGGAGCTCAATCGTATATATATATACTATATTACATGTTTACATGTAACGGAGGTTCAATTGCGTTGTTGCGTTTTTCTGAAATGGGCTATGTGTTTATTAATCATCAGAATAGAATGCCGCGGAAACAAAATGGCCTCTAACTGCTGTCCGTCACGTCAAGATGGAGAAAGCGTTTCGCATTGGAAGTAAAACAAACACACAGCGGAGAACTGTGAAGAGGAATCACTCCACGGGTCAAACAGAAGGGGGGTGAGCGGCAAACGGACCACCGAAAGCCCTGCTACGCTAAGCTAGCTGCTAGGCTACTTCTATCTCAATATTTACCGTGAGTTAGTAGTTAGTTAAGTTTTGTGCTTAAAATAACGTTAACAATTAAACAACAGTGTCTAAAATACACGTCTAATTATTACTCAACAAACATTCATTATCATATTGAATGTTCATTATATTAATGAATTTCAAAATGTGCGAGTATGAATTTGTTAATTAGCTTTTTTCTATTATCTATTTATGATCTATTAAAATAAAAAAATAAAAATGTTTTTTGAAAAAAAAAAGTCAAACAATATTTAGAAAAAATGTTTTAAAAGAAAGTCTGAATATGTCAGCTGAAAAAAAAAACTTTGATGTACTTGGTAAAAGGTTTTATAGAAAAAAAGTCTGAAAATGTTAGGTCAAAAAATATAATATCGAACATAAATGTCAGAACATAAATTTATGTCAAAAAAGTAAAAAAAGACTAGGTTAATAGAAAAAAAAGTAAAAACTTTCACAGGAAAATCTTGACACCACAACGCAGTGGAAAATTCTTCCTGCTCTATTGAACACCATTTCTATCCTTGCTTTTATACTTTTAAATATATTTCATGATCACCTTAGCTTTTGACGTTTTATTCATTTTTAAAGGTTTTATGGTTTCAACATTAACATATGTAAATTCCGGCAGCTTCAATTGCGTGTTGAATCCATGACGACTGAGCACCACAGCTCGTCTCCGGTGAACAGTGGAGTGGCCCCGGTGACATCGGAGAGGGATTTACCAGGTAGGATCAAAGCCGTCCTTGATATTACCGTCCTCTGCATCGCGGCTCCCACTTCCGCCCACTGGAGTCCACCATCTGGGAGGATTTCAAGAGCCGGGGTGCTTGAGGTTAAGACAGAATGAGCATGGGAAATAACTGCGTTGAAAATAAAGCATTACCACATTTTTTTTTTGGCCATATTGTTTATTGTTTAATAATAAGATTGAATGATTAAATGTAAGTATTTTTTCCATCGTGGGTCAAAATGCTCTTAGGATATTATTTGAACTACACGGCACAAAGTATCAGTTTTACACCGTTTATAATTTCAGAAATGTGATTATTAAGCGAATATAGCTTCAGATAAGGTTGTATTCACCGTCATGGGTGAGATCTCAGAACACAACCTCCATAAATTTAACTTTACATCTTGCTGCCATCACACTCACACCCCCGACGACAGAATGTAATACGTCTTGAAATAATTGGCCTTTAAAAAAGTCCTACACGAGGTGAAGTCGATCAATAAATTGATTTCCAGTGACGCGCTTTCTCCCTTTTTTGGCCACAATTGTCAGGTCTGTTCATCGCATTAACAGAAGAGGAAAATACGTTTGAAAAGGCAGCGGATCGAACGGACCATTAAAGCACGGACAAAGCCCCTGAGTGGGGCTCTGCAGGCCAGACCAGGACACCAGTGTTCATATCCCAAAACGTTACCCTTCGGTACATGTTGTGCCACGTAGACCTCCCAGTCGGAAAACGAAACTGTGTTTTTAAATAAGAATTTCTGCGTATTTTACTAGATATCCAGACGCTCGAGAGGCTGAGAAATGAGGGCGACCCTCTTCAGAATACAGAGCAGCGATCATCCAGCCGATCCCTCCGTGTCGGCGTGGTACAGTGGACGCAGTGGGAGCTCAGACCGATAGCTCGGCGCTAATCACCCGTGTGCCTCTTCTCCCCAGAGGATGTGCAGGCTGCTCAACGCTCAACATAAATCCCATTATGGGCTCGCTGTGATGCATCTGGATTGGCTGCATACATTACAGCAATGTTGTCCCTGGTTTCCGTTTACTTTATGATTGTTAAGACTTTCATGGCATCAAAGGCGATTTATTTAGGTCAGAAAAAGCCTAAAGGTCCGAAATCGTTTTGCAGCAAAATGCATTTCAATTCCATACTTTATTTACAGGATTTCCGGGTTCTTTTCCTAAATCCCACTGACACTTCGAGCACCTCTAATAACCAAAATGTCAGCCCAACGGAGCCTTTCCTTTCAGTATCAAGGGGCTCCTCCGATGTCTACAGGATCTTCTTGTGCAGCTACTTATTGACCAACCTCTTTATTTAAACAATGCACGTTGGTTTGGCTGTTTGTTCCGTGTCAGAATTCTGCCACCGAAATCTGAAGTTTAACTCGCAGTTCTGTTCGTTGTCCTGCTTTCCCTCCGGCGCTTGACTCTGAACTCGAGGGTCGGCCTCTGTCGAGCTCAACGACGGCTTGATGGACTCACCTGCGTGGCCGAGCCCCTCTGAGTGCTCCCGCGCGCCTTTTCCCAGCAACGACCGCCGGGCCGACGGAACGATTGAGCGCCGCGCAAAAGAAACAACCCGCTCTTTTTCGGTGATTGACATTGCCGGGCCGCTTAGCACGTTATGAATCGGCCAGAGCAGAGCGCCCCCCCCCCCCGTCGGTGATCTTTTGCGTCAACTCTTCGATTCATGCGTTGCGGGAGAGGAAGGGAGCGCCCGACGAGCCGGGCTGGACGGACGGCGAGCTCGATGACTGCCGCTGCTTTTACTTTCCCGTGTGCCGCTGAGCGTGAAGAGATCACGTCACGTTAGAGAGAGAAGCAACAGAATGGAAAATAAGCGCGGCCTTGTTGTTGTTGTTGTTGTCCATTTATTTCTAGCCCCCACTTCCTGTCTGTGTGTGCATGTGCAGCGTGGGTGGCGATGTGTGTGTGTGTGTGTGTGTGTCGTTTGTCGTGCACATGGAAACAAACTGTCACAAAAGAAAGAAAGATTGTGAAACTTGACGTGACGTATCGACAATGCTGATCCGCGACAACGAGGAGGAAGCGTGAAGTTCACAGGAAGTGAAACCACAGCGGAGCCCCTCGCAACAACCGCCGAGGTCACAGAGGATCTCCAGCAGAAACGAACAATAGCTGTCGCTTCTCATCCTCGCAGCAGGTGTCACATGGAGCCGACTTGTGACCTTCTGACCTTCAGCCAGAGTTACCCTCCAAACCGCCCCCCCCGAAGTCTCTCTTTCCCCCCCTGAGGGTGAAAGCAGCTCCTCCTCGCGTGGACGGTTAAACGCCAGCTGCGTCCGAGCCCACGCGGCGCGCGCCCACGGCCTTCAAACTGTCACACGGGGGGGACTTTACGTTTCTCGGTGAAAGTAAACGGTTCGCGGTGAAACTTTCCCTCTCGTCCCGCGGTCTCCTCCCTTCGCCGTGTTCTTGTCTCGTTCTCGGGGAACCTTTTAACTTCAAGATCGACCGAGACCAACTAATTCTTCTCCTCGTTGAATTATTCTGTCGATCATAACTTAAGGCAATAAAGTAAATGATGTTTGTTTTTATGGGACGGGTTGAGGAGTTATTTTCACTTCCACGTTTATGTCCTGCGATATAAAACACGGCGGTAAAACTTCTTCTTGTCCACCTTTGCAGCGTTGCAGCGTTGTACAGCGGCATGTAGATTATCGACCAACTGTGACATTCATGATAAAAAAAACTAAACCATCAGAGTGGTGACGATCGTCTAACTGAACACGTTTTTTCCGCATTCATCTAGAAGCTTCTTGTCGAGTGAGTCAATCAAATGCGACCTTTCAGTTCCTTTTAGCTGAACATGTAAGTGGGCCAGATTTATATAAAATAACAATACTCTTCCTTTTTTTTTTTTTGTTAATGACAGTTTTATGAATAAAAAAACTGCATTAAATCTCGCAGCCGCCACTCTGAGTGACGTCATCGTCTCTGACATTCAACAGGAGCACCTCCTCGCCTCCTGTCACACACTGTGGAACATCAAGGCGTCCGGAAGATGGAGATGTGAGAATGAGGAGAGGGGTGTAGGGTGATGTGGGGTGTGTGTGGGGGTGATGTGAAGCGTGTGGGGGGAGTGTGGGGGGAGTGTGGGGGGGTAAAGCACTCCTCTCATTTCTCTGGGGATCAGCCTCTTTTAGCCACAGCAGCAGGAAGCAGCAGCGGATTCTGTAAAACGAGGCAACAAAACACGAAAACACGTCTAGAAATGAAAAAAAAATTGGTTGTGCGTGTGTGCGTGCATGTGTGTGTGTGTGTGTGTGCTGTAAGAGGAGCTGTGGGAGGAGGGGAGGGATGGATAGATGGCTCCTTACTCATCAATGACCACCACAGAAATAGCCAGCAGGCCGACACATTGCAGCGACACCTTCAGAGTCTGTGTGACATTGTGTGCAGGATGAACACGTGTGTGAGTGTGTGTGTGTGTGTGTGTGTGTGTGTGTGTGTGTGTGTGTGTCAGTGAGAGGGGAAGATAAAGACAGACACACTGAGCGATGAGGTCATCGTACGGGTGTAAACACACCCGCCCAGGAGAAGTCCGACGATGAAAGATCTGATTTCTTTTTTGTTTCGTCATTTTCTTTCCCGGTTCAATTCTCAATTATTCTGCTCTGAGAAAGTGGAGAAAAGAAAAAGTCTGGCGACACCACAGACCCAAAAACGCGTGTCCCCCCCCCCCCCCCGTCCGTCCAGCAAGGCACTCGGCAAAATAAACGGCGAGGAAAAACTAGGACGGTGCGATGCAGCTGCTCCCGCGGCGCCTCGCCGGTGGACGAGGACGTCTCCGAGGCTTCTTTCAGCAACACGTCGTCACTGAGTTCACACGAATTAACCCGAGGCTTTGAGCAACTTTCTGCTGATAATAAATGTAATAAAAACTTCATTGTGGGGTAAGATAAGAAAACAGCTGTCATCAGTTCTGTGCATTCATAGAGTGTCATTGACACATAGAGAGCATCAAATCAACCGTATAAATAAATGATCCTGTTGTTATTTGACGTAGAAACATAAAAACAAAGAGAGGGAAGACAGATTTAACCCCACAGATGGACGAATAGAGGAGCTGTTGATGAGCGAGACAGAAAGAAGGAAGAGAGCGAGAGGAAGCTGAACACTGCAGGGGGAGGCAGAGAGAGAGCGAGACACAGAGAGAGGGGAGGGAGAGAGAGAGAGGGGAGGGGAGGAGAAAAGCCTTATTATATCCAGGCTATTGAAAGGATGAGTCTCCTCCCCCTCTCTTCCTCCATGCATGTTCGGCCCAGAGAGGCCACAGGGAAAGCAAAAACCACCCGAGACAAGAGAGCGAGGAGACCCCCCCCCCCCCCTTCCAACTTCTCTCTCCCCTTCTCTCTCTCCCCCACACACACACACACACACAGCCCCGGACCCCCCCCCCCCCATCCCCCCGCACAGGGATGTTACATGGACTACAGCGGGAGCATCGCCGGCCAGAGGTAGGGAGGACTTTCTGTCCCATTTCTGTCTCCTTCTCTCGCCTGCATGGTGTGATGATCCGTCTCTGCCGCTCCTCTCTCCTCCTGCACCTCCCCAAACGCGATAGTTTGAAACACTTCCCCCCTTTCTCCTCTCTTGCAGAAATCGTTTTTCTTTAATGTGTGAAAATGTGCCTTTTTTTTCCTCTCTCCAACTTCTCGACAATCGACTGCGTCCGAGGCAGACGTGTTTTGTGGTGAGAGCTTTCGACATTACAACTTGTCATGTAGTTGAGGATGTTAGAACCCTGCGCGTGTGTGTGTTTATGTAGAGATAGAAGGCAAAGCGCGTCAGACTCCTCGTGCCTGAACGATCCAATCCAACACAACGTGAGATCTGCACCGTAGTCGAGTCAGTTTCAAGGAATCACCTGCCGCGGTCACTCTTTCCTGGAAGCCAACCGATCAATAATAAGCCTTTTGTTTGTGTTGCGAGGGTAATGCAATGAGCTGCGTGACCTTTGCTGGGGAGTTGCAAAGAGAAGGGCAGAACTCTTTTTGATGAACATCTCTCATAAGCAGGTGCTGAGCTCTTTTTCAACATTAACAAGTAACTGACCAACAACGCGTTGAGGCCTGAAATGTTTGCTGCGAGGTTTAATTCTGATGCAGTTTGGGCTTATTGAGAATACGCCGCGCGTCTCGCTGTCACGAGGCGAGGGCACAGAGTCGGCGGAAGAGGATCCAAAGGTCGAGGGAGGCCGAGGAGGACCCGAATTAGCACGTTCTGTGGCCTGTGGCCCCCCCCCCCCGATGATGACGGCGGTCCCCGGGGGCCGTCAGACGGTGATTCCTCACGCGGGTTAAGAGGTGAACAATGGCCGTGTCCCAGATGTGTGCGACTCAAATTGATTCCCCTCACGATTTACGCACTGACCCGAATAGTAGATAACCTGGATTACCGGACACCTCTTTGAGCGTTTTAGATAACAAACGCATTGTCGACATCTTTTCAATCCCAAATCACTGCGCAGTAAACAATAGCGACGCTTTTATCCGTTAATCTTTTTAACGTCATGAAGGTGTTTGCTCACATTATTTCACTCCCAGGTAAAAAACAAACACGGGGAGGCTGATGATGGAGCGATAAGTCCGTTCCCGCAGCGCTTGAACGGTATAAATAGACCTGGTTTTGTGCTGAATGTAAATATTAGTCCAATATTTACTCTCTTTTAGCTCTGCTTCTTCTCTCTGCTGACTCCTATGGGAAACGTCTGCCTCTTAAATGCCAAATGCCGTGTCTGATGTGCGGCACGGCGCAGGTAGTGTACACAAAGCTTTTATCTGACAGCAGCTGCAGCTTGAACGCGTCATGAACGCCACTGTCACATCTGACTTTCGTCTTTCACTGCAAACAGTCCCATTGTTAATCGGGAACCGGGAACCGGTCGCCCGATTTGTCCCCGACAGTCTAAAATTGACGTGACGTAACACAGTACAAGACTTTCTTTAAGTACGCGTTTGAGCCGATATGGTATCTGAGAAAAAAAAACGGCTATTCGTTCAGTGGCCTTCAGGTCTCGCCCTCTTAATGCCACAGATTCTGCGCACCAAACCGACTGCGGTGCTCTTGTTTGTCTCAAAATGACGGACCTGGAGTAACATGAAATGCCTTCACTGGAATGTAGAGTTGGGAGTGTTTGCGATGGCGTTCAAGGAGGTTCAAGTCCCCAAAAGGATGAGATCTTTACAAGAGATCTGTAAAAGGTTTATATTGTGCATTCTTTAAAGCACTGGTGTGTTAAACAGCTAAATGATGGTGACTGTTTCCCAATAAACGTCTTGAGACGATTCAAAATGTGATAATTGAGGTTCAGATGGTTCCTTGGTTGGTTGCCTACTCTGGACCATCGGATGTGAACAATTTAAGAAGCCTCTCATTCAAAGCATGCTGAGGCCTATTTGTTTGCAGAGCGGCAGTCGGGGAGCCGGACCCGGCACATTCCCGCTTGGGGGCCCATAAACACCCCGGTGGTATTTGTGGGTCTCCATCCTCAGCGGGTGGGAGAACAGCCAGCCTCGGCCTCCATGCGAGCCCGGCCTGCAGCAGGGGCTGATCCGCCGGCGTCCCACACGCCAGCGTGCGCGGCGTGTTGTGCGCGCAACTTCTGTAGATGACTAACTGGCTGAGGAAGATCTGCCCGAGAAAGCAGAGGGGGAAACTGATGAGATGGAAAAGAAACCATTGCAGAGAAAATCACATTCAAAAAAAAAAAAAAAATCACCTTGTGGAAACAGTGAGCCGTGATAACGAGGGCGAGGTGAAGATAGTCCAGAGTGTGTGTGTGTGATTTTCTGCACTGTATAGTGTGTATTGTCAAGTCTCGACCAGGGATTAGCAGCACTCCTTTTATGGGCAGAGAAGAAGCTCAGGCTGCGGCTCCTCAGGTTAAACCGTGCGGTTAATTCCCTGAAACAACACGGGCCTCTAAATGTTTCCTGGGCTGTATCTTCGGCCCGTGGTGCGATTAGATGCCCCCTCTGAAAACCTCACGCACAGCAGGAAAGCAAAAACTCCAAAAAAAGCCCTCCACTTCGGCAGGAATGTTCTCCACTGAATAAGGCGTATTTATTTTGGGACTGAATTAGCTCGTGATTTGGAAAGGGCACTTTGCCTCTGCTGTGGTGGTCAATGCAAAGTCCCACCCATGGGATTCAGCCACGGCGTTATATAAGCAACAGGGTCACGCGAGGCGGAGAAACGCGATAACTCGCGAAAGTCGTCGTGGTGACAAAGTTTGTGGTACATTTGAACGAAATACGACCCAGTCCAGACGAGGACGGGACAGGACGGGTAGGACGGCCTTCCGGCCTCGTCCCTTCTGACCTTCTTTTTTCCCCCCTTCCTCCCGACACAATAACCGCGGCCGGAGGGGCTTTGTCACGTAACCGCGTGTCGTTTTGGGGCACTTGTTGTAACGACTGTCGCCCAGAGGAAACAACTCCACAGCAGTTAATACGGAACTTCACACTTCACAAACACTTGTTCCGATGTGGTGAAATAGATCCTTTAAAGGGAGCGTTGTAGCGATTGCTTCGGACTTTGGATCCGCTGAGTCTAGGCGGCTCGGGGCTCTTCCGCTGGGGCGTCAGGGCTCGAGAGGCTCTGAGCGCTTCGCTCACGCTCTCTTCTGCAGACTGAGCTCAACCGAATAACCCGGAGTTACTTATGATGATCAAATCCTCGATGTCAATGACCTTTCT